TTTTGATCAGGAAGGGATGCTGTACTTTGTCAAATGCTTTTTCAGCATCTATTGAGAGTATCATATGGTTCCTGTTCTTTCTTTTATTAATGTGTTTTATCACATTGATTGATTTGCGGATGTTGAACCAACCTTGCAGCCCTGGAATAAATCCCACTTGGTCGTGGTGAATAATCCTTTTAATGTACTGTTGAATCCAATTGGCTAGTATTTTGGTGAGAATTTTTGCATCTGTGTTCATCAAGGATATTGATCTGTAGTTCTCTTTTTTGATGGGATCCTTTTCTGGTTTGGGGATCAAGGTGATGCTGGCCTCATAAAATGAGTTTAGAAGTTTTCCTTCCATTTCTATTTTTTGGAACAGTCTCAGGAGAATAGGAATTAGTTCTTCTTTAAATGTTTGGTAGAATTCCCCCGGGAAGCCGTCTGGCCCTGGGCTTTTGTTTGTTTGGAGATTTTTGATGACTGTTTCAATCTCCTTGCTGGTTATGGGTCTGTTCAGGCTTTCTATTTCTTCCTGGTTCAGTTGTGGTAGTTTATATGTCTCTAGGAATGCATCCATTTCTTCCAGATTGTCAAATTTGTTGGCATAGAGTTGCTCATAATATGTTCTTATAATTGTCTGTATTTCTTTGGTGTTAGTTGTGATCTCTCCTCTTTCATTCATGAGTTTATTTATTTGGGTCCTTTCTCTTTTCTTTTTGATAAGTCTGGCCAGGGGCTTATCAATCTTATTAATTCTTTCAAAGAACCAGCTCCTAGTTTCGTTGATTTGTTCTATTGTTGTTTTGGTTTCTATTTCATTGATTTCTGCTCTGATCTTTATGATTTCTCTTCTCCTGCTGGGTTTAGGGTTTCTTTCTTGTTCTTTCTCCAGCTCCTTTAGGTGTAGGGTTAGGTTGTGTACCTGAGACCTTTCTTGTTTCTTGAGAAAGGCTTGTACCACTATATATTTTCCTCTCAGGACTGCCTTTGTTGTGTCCCACAGATTTTGAACTGTTGTATTTTCATTATCATTTGTTTCCATGAATTTTTTCAATTCTTCTTTAATTTCCTGGTTGACCCATTCATTCTTTAGAAGGATGCTGTTTAGTCGCCATGTATTTGGGTTCTTTCCAAATTTCCTCTTGTGATTGAGTTCTAGCTTCAGGGCATTGTGGTCTGAAAATATGCAGGGAATGATCCCAATCTTTTGATACCGGTTGAGACCTGATTTAGAACCAAGGATGTGATCTATTCTGGAGAATGTTCCATGTGCACTAGAGAAGAATGTGTATTCTGTTGCTTTGGGACGAAATGTTCTGAATATATCTGTGATGTCCATCTGGTCCAGTGTGTCATTTAAGGCCTTTATTTCCTTGTTGATCTTTTGCTTGGATGATCTGTCCATTTCAGTGAGGGGAGTGTTAAAGTCCCCTACTATTATTGTATGATTGTCGATGTGTTTCTTTGATTTTGTTATTAATTGGTTTATATAGTTGGCTGCTCCCACGTTAGGGGCATAGATATTTACAATTGTTAGATCTTCTTGTTGGACAGATCCTTTGAGTATGATATAGTGTCCTTCTTCATCTCTTATTATAGTCTTTGGTTTAAAATCTAATTGATCTGATATAAGGATTGCCACTCCTGCTTTCTTCTGATGTCCATTAGCATGGTAAATTCTTTTCCACCCCCTCACTTTAAATCTGGAGGTGTCTACGGGTTTAAAATGAGTTTCTTGTAGGCAACATATAGATGGGTTTTGTTTTTTTATCCATTCTGATACCCTGTGTCTTTTGATTGGGGCATTTAGCCCGTTAACATTCAGGGTAACTATTGAGAGATATGAACTTAGTGCCATTGTATTGCCTGTAAGGTGACTGTTACTGTATATTGTCTCTGTTCCTTTCTGATCTACTACTTTTAGGCTCTCTCTTTGCTTAGAGGACCCCTTTCAATATTTCCTGTAGAGCTGGCTTGGTGTTTGCAAATTCTTTCAGTTTTTGTTTGTCCTGGAAGCTTTTAATCTCTCCTTCTATTTGCAATGATAGCCTAGCTGGATATAGTATTCTTGGCTGCATGTTTTTCTCGTTTAGTACTGTGAATATATCATGCCAGCTCTTTCTGGCCTGCCAGGTCTCTGTGGATAAGTCTGCTGCCAATCTAATATTTTTACCATTGTATGTTACAGACTTCTTCTCCCGGGCTGCTTTCAGGATTTTCTCTTTGTCACTAAGACTTGTAAATTTTACTATTAGGTGACGGGGTGTGGGCCTATTCTTATTGATTTTGAGTGGGGTTCTCTGAACCTCCTGGATTTTGATGCTTGTTCCCTTTGCCATATTGGGGAAATTCTCTCCAATAATTCTCTCCAATATACCCTCTGCTCCCCTCTCTCTTTCTTCTTCTTCTGGAATCCCAATTATTCTAATGTTGTTTCATCTTATGGTGTCAGTTATCTCTCGAATTCTGCCCTCGTGGTCCAGTAGTTGTTTGTCGCTCTTTTGCTCAGCTTCTTTATTCTCTGTCATTTGGTCTTCTATATCGCTAATTCTTTCTTCTGCCTCATTTATTCTAGCAGTGAGAGCCTCCATTTTTGATTGCACCTCATTAATAGCTTTTTTGATTTCAACTTGATTAGATTTTAGTTCTTTTATTTCTCCAGAAAGGGCTTTTATATCTCCCGAGAGGGTTTCTCTAATATCTTCCATGTCTTTTTTGAGCCCAGCTAGAACCTTGAGAATCGTCATTCTGAACTCTAGATCTGACATATTACCAATGTCTGTATTGATTAGGTCCCTAGCCTTTGGTACTGCCTCTTGTTCTTTTTTTTTTGTGGTGATTTTTTCCGCCTTGTCATTTTGTCCAGATAAGAGTATATGAAGGAGTAAATAAAATACTAAAAGCATGGCAACAACCCCAGGAAAATATGCTTTAGCCAAATCAAAAGAGATCCCAAATCTTGAGGGGGCGGGGGAAGGGGATAAAAAGAGGTTCAGAAAGAAAAAAGAAGAAAAAAGAAAAAAGAAACAAATAAAAAAAGAAAACCAATAATGAAAAAAATATAAAAAGGAAAAATATATATATATATATTAGATAAACTAGTTAAAAAACTTTAAAAAAGAAAAGGGTAAAAGTTTAAAAAATTAGCAGAAGAAGAGAAAAAAAAATTGAAAAAGAAAAAAAAATTAAATTAACTGCAAGACTAAAGAATCATGGGGAGAAAGCCATGAGTTCCGTGCTTTGCTTTCTCCTCCTCTGGTATTCCGCGGCTCTCCTTGGTATTGAAACTGCACTCCTCGTAAGTGAACTTGGTCCTGGCTGGGTTTCTTGTTGATCTTCTGGGGGAGGGGCCTGTTGTAGTGATTCTCAAGTGTCTTTGCCCCAGGCGGAGTTGCACCGCCCTTACCCGGGGCCAGGCTGAGTAATCCGCTCGGGTTCGCTTCCGGGAGCTTTTGTTCCCTGAGCGCTTTCCGTAGAGTCCGGAGGATGGGAATGAAGATGGCAGCCGCCCAGTCTCCGGCCCAGAGGAGCCGAGAGCTCGGGGCCCCACTCCTCAGTGCACCCTCAGAGAACAGCGCCCAATTACTCCTGCCTGCCTGGCCTCCGGCCACGCTCCGAGCCAACCGAGCCTGCGACCGGTTCAAGGTAAGCCTGAGCTGTGAGCTCACTCCTCGGCTCCGTCTCGGTAGCCAGCTTCCCCGTTCTAATACCTGTGAACTCTGCGACACTCAGACACCCCGATCCTTCTGTGACCCTGCGGGACCTGAGGCCACACTGGCCCCGCGTGGGCTTCACCCCAGTTAAGCCTCTGGAGCGATGTCCCTCAGCGGAACAGACTTTTAAAAGTCCTGATTTTGTGCTCCGTTGCTCCGCCGCTTGCCAGGAGCCGGCCCCTCCCCCCGCGGTCTATCTTCCCGTCGCTTTGGATTCACTTCTCCGCCAGTCCTACCTTTCAGAAAGTGGTTGATTTTCTGTTTCTAGAATTGCTGTTCTTCTTCTCTTCAGTCTCCTGTTGGATTTGTAGGTGTTTGCAATCTTTAGATAAGCTATCTAGCTGATCTCCCGCAACCTGAAGTAGTCTCAGCTGCTACTTCTCTGCCATCTTGACTCCCCTCTCAAACATTTTTATAATTTTTATTTTCCTGGAGTTTGGACTGAATATCTGAACTCTGTATCAACCATTGGAATAAGTTCTGCATCCAGAGTGCTGATCTCTTTGGTGGTGTACCCCTGGATTTTCATAGATAAGTGATCAATGTGTTCTGCCTGTTACAATGGGAATGGCCATCCCTTAGAAATCCCAGGTTATACCACTATTTGAAACACAATGGAATGACACACTTCAGATCTTCCCAATTGATCTGTCAGCCTGATTGTTTGTGCAAGCACTACATTGACTCCATGACCCTATGGGTGGACTGGATCTCGACTGGTGCCCCATCTTGGATGACTGGTAATCCTGTTGTAAAGAAATACCAGTTCTTCCCCTCAGTGTCATGAATGACATTGCTGCCATACTACGCATTTCCCCTTGATTATGACTCATGCCATCACATACTGTCCCTGTATAAGTCTCAGGGAGATACACACATGCTCCTTTCCTTGTGGTGAATAAGATGCTTCTAGGAACTTTTTTCCTTGACCAGACTACTTCATCCCATTGCAGATAAAATATCTATCAGTGTTTCCTCTCTCCCGTGATGGTTTAGACATTTTTTTTTCCCTCTCTTTGTCATATATCTATAGCAGATTGAATCCTAATGTAAGTTGTCTCTGATGGGATATTGACCCTATTATAGAATAATTTCCTGGATAGTTGTATTTAAAGTGGCTATTTGTGTGTTTTTAAAATTAAGGGAATTTCTGCACAAACACATATGTACAGGAAGCATATTTCGCCAATTTATTTAATCATTTGACAATCCAATAACACCAAACAGTATGTGAATGGTGAGGAAGAGTGATGAAATGGGGAAAGGAATTATGTTAAGAGAAAAACATGACATCAAGCAGAATCAAGCAATGCTTTCTTGATACTGTTGATCCTGATTCCATGCAGAAAAGGATGTGTCCACTTCTCAGTGACACGGCTACAGGAGGAGAAAACAGGACAGAAGGTTGAGTTGACTAGACTCTGTGATAGCCTGACTGGGGTGAGCCTCAGGGAGTATAATGTCAAGGGTTGGGAGAGCTTTTAGTTAACACAGCACACAAGTTCCACAGGGAATGTCAGACTCTCCACCTCTGTGATATGGGAGGACCCACTGGAATTTTTCCATGCATGTACATAGGATGGGACCCTTCATGATTAGGATCCCTATAATATGGAAGGAGCCACTGGAATTTTTCCTTGTGTGTACATAGGATGGGACCCTTCATGATTAGGATCCCTATAATATGGAAGGAGCCACTGGAATTTTTCCATGTGTGTACATAGGATGAGACCTTTCATGATTAGGATCCCTTTCAGGACTTTGATAATTTCAGAATGCATATTCACAGGCACCACCTATCCAAAAGGATTTTACAGGATCTTTGATGGAGTTACGCTCTGTTCTTCCAATTCTAAAAGCTTTATGGCTTGAAGATGTTGTGTTCAGCCTGGAAGCTAATGTCTCTGTTTGCTCTTTTTTCCTCCATTTCTTCCCAACAACAGCGACAAAAGGTACATTTTAGCCTACACCAGCATCATGCTTTGACGCTTATCTTACTGTAGAAAGTTCAAAAATCGCACTTTAAGGAAATCTCGTTCTGCAGAACAACACACCTGGGAGGCATGTATCACGTAGCATTTTGGGGGAGTTTCCAATGCGACGATTACAATTCTGTGAAATCACACCTGGTGTGTGCAGAGGGAATAGGGACATGTATAGACAACCCTCAACTGAGACTGAATGAAAAAACCCATTGTTTTTCCAGTCAAACCTGCCAACGTCTCCCATCTCCTGCTTCTCTCGGAAGAACTATCATTGGCATGATGCTTGCATGATAAGCCTTTTTCACCAACACTGCTTTTTAGGATGAATGGACTAGGATGTGATATTTGCAATTTCAGTAGGCCTCAGGGTAAACACAATAACCTCATAAAAAAGCTCTCTAGTGACATAATTATTGGGCTAGTTGACATAGTAACTCTCACAACAGAGTCATGCTTACTTACAATATTTAGAAGGAGTTGGTGTCACTGGTTTTGTTAATTGACGGGACAGTCATCTGGGGACAAAACAAATGCAAAAAGTGAAAAAAAGGACCAACCAATCATGACCATTTCCCAATATTTGTAAGGATTTCTTCTTCTTTTTTTTTTTTTTAATTTGAATTTGAAAGAAATTTTACTTGTTTGAGCAAGAGTGAGAGTGAATGGGGACAGGAGCTGGGTGTGGAGTCTGATGCAGGGAATTAAAATTTTTAAATTAAAATTAAAATTAAGGGGTACCTGGGTGGCTCAGTGGGTTAAAGCTTCTGCCTTCAGCTCAGGTCATGATCCCAGAGTCCTGGGATCGAGCCCCACATCAGGGTCTCTCCTTGGTGGGGAAGCCTGCTTCCTCCTCTCTCTCTACCTACCTCTGCCTACTTGTGATCACTGTTTGTCAAATAAATAAATAAAATCTTTAAAAAAAAATAAAAATAGAAAAATAAAATTAAAATTAAAATCATTACCTGAGCTGAAATCAAGAGTCGGATGCTTAACCAACCTCACCACCCAGGTGCCCCATGATTTCTTCTTTTAAATGAAGGGTTTTATAAAAGATAATTCGTGGAAGAGAAAATTCAAAAAGAAATCCGTTTGTTTCCTTGTAGCATATTTACATATCAGGTAAGGGATATATTCAGGTAAAAAAAAAAATATATATATATATCACATTACCAGTACCGACGAGATTTACAATATTTTCTTCCGGAATATTCCTTTGTCTAACCAACTCCTTGAATTTCTCAACGGCTTCCTCATTGAGTTGATGTGTTCTGCCTGAAAATCACAATGCGTGAAGCAGAAATTGCCCATTAGAACCCCTAGGAATTTCTGAATACAGAATGAAAAACATGAAGGGGGAAATCTAGTCTTTCACTGAGTCTCAAACGATTACCATTGACCTTGTCTCAATGTCAGCTCTCTGACTTAGGTGGATAGGAGCCATTAAACCTTCTGTGATTGCATGGCCATGAGCTGTCTAGGAGTGCAGGACCCCAGGGACACATCAGGAACTCCATGAATCTTGGACCCGACCCATCAAGAACATCCAATCTACGGCGTGTCTGCCTTTGCCTCAGAATCTGTGTCTGATACGCACGTCGGGTTCTGGACCCAAACTGCAAGCGTGATTCTCACCTTCCAGACAAATAACATCCCCATCGCACGTAGACTCAGAGACAGCTTGTTTTGTTTCTTTTTTTTTTTTTTTTTTAATTTAAACCACAGTTCTCAAATGCCTTTTTCCAGATTGAAACCCAGTATCCCGCAGACTCTAGCACCCATCTCCACACCGCCTGTGTGTTATTCAGGGGTTGAAATAGTCAGTGTTGGCAACAACAATGCATTAGAAAGACGAAATATAATGAAGGTTTATTTTGAAAGCTTCTGTCCCGAGGCTGGTCAGTGGATTTGGAAAAAAATGGTCATAAATTGAAGGCTTAGAGTCAACCTGAAGAAAGCTGAGGTTTGAAATTAGTTGACCTGCTATGAAACTACTTCTAATGAAACTCATTTTTTTTTGTTTTATTTTTTCATTTTAATAAATGGAAGTTATTTTTAAAGACCTCTCTCTTCTCCTGACTTTTGTTTACACCTTTCTTTTTAGAATCATTCCAGGATCCTTGACACAATGCACATGAAGACTTTGGCCTTGTTGGCAGAATCATTAATAGTGTCCAAAAGTACTGATTTTCTCTGTGAAAATGCTGACGGTCGAAATATGATATGGCCATGACCATCACCAGGATGTCATACATACCCGCCAATAAAACGAGATCTGTGGTGTGTCCTTTTTCATCCACATTGATATCATAGCCCAGCATAATGTTTGGGGTTATCCTGACAACTTGGAAATCGTTGGTCCCCTCATCTGTGAGGGAGAAAAAATACATATATATGTAAAATTTATATAAACTTATATAAAATTTATATATATATATAAAGACTCGCCTTTGTTAATTTATGGTAGATTGGCTTTACCGTGGTGTAGTTGGCATATGGGTAATGACATTCTCGTACCAGACTCTGTGTCCCCTTTGCGGTGTAGTATGAACATTAATGTTGCTTATGACAATGAGAACAAGGATGGTAGGGGACATTTTTCCTTAGTGCCACCTTCTTCTGCAATGAAACATCTCACACCTCCCAGTGTTACTAAAATAGTCCCTAACATGTGTTGCCATGACACCCACATGCCTCTAAACAACACGTGTTGGGATTACATGGCATATTATCATATACAAGTTTGAAATCTTTTCATATTGGCCATATCCCAGCAATGGAGTTGACTTCTCTTTAGATCAGCTGCCATTCAAAACCATGCATAACTGTATGCTGAGTGTCTACTCTGTATCGGGCAACCCTCCAGGCCTTTGGTTAATGCCAAAGGCTGTATTCACTCTGCCCCTTAATCTAGGTGTATGGGTGAACACATTTAAAACTTCCACGAATACACCCATTTTTATGACTATTGGTTATACTGTGAACACATCATGGGTGGGGACAATCTCAACATTCAATTCAGATCCCACATGCATGCGGCACCTTCCTCTCTGTCTAGGCCCATCCATCCTGCCATGTTTCTAAGAAAAAGAAAAAGGCACCGATCCACATGCTGTTTCTTCACCAAACCTTCCCACATGCATTCTTCCTTCCAACCACAGCATACATAGCACCTTATTTGAACCACTGCTTCAGATTTTACCTGAAACTCTGCCGGTTTGTGTGTCCCACTGAACTAGCGTTAGTCTACCACGGCAAAAGACCAAGGAGCCCCAGACGGAACTTCACCGTCTCCCAGACAAGTCTCGGAGCCTTGCCCAAGCCTACTCTACCTCCATGAGTCTTGGGTTATGTGGAAAGAATTTAAATATGGTTTTGTGCATCTCTAAAGATTCTTGGTAACCACTTGGGATGATGATGTCATAAAGGAGGGCTTTGCAGGAAACCTCACTAAGTCGGTTTATAAAGGGAACGCAGGTCATGGAAGTGGCGGGATGAAATACGTCAAGGCCACCGCTAGTTTTATCCCTTGGTTTCTCCAGAACAGAGCTGGGTAGGTTGCAAATCCTAGTTCCCAAAGTCAGCTCAAAGTAAGTGGAGCTCATGGTCTTTCTCTCCTGCCTTAAATTGCTGTGTCCAAATCCCATTAAAAAGGGCTACGGAAAGTGACTCTTAATCTTACAAAACAAACGGAGGGTTGCTGGGGGGAGGGGGGTTGGGGGGGTGGGGTTATGGACATTGGGTATGGTATGTGCTATGGTGAGTGCTGTGAAGTGTGTAAACCTGGAGATTCACAGACCTGTACCCCTGGGGAAAAAAATATATATATATGTTTATAAAAAATAAAATTTAAAAAAAAAAAGGGCTATGGAAATGCAGAAAATTAAAGAAAGGGTGACAGAGAACATTGATGGCACAAGCAAACGGAAAGATCATCTACGAGTAAGAGAAATGAAATAATTAAAAAAAAAATCTCCTGGTAATATAAAAGTGGCAGAAGGACAGGCATATAATTGACTTTATTTTCGTATCTTCTACTTAACTACACACCCGTTGTGCTGTTTGTTATCTCAGACAAGGGCTGTAACCACAGATTTACACATTTAAATTTTAATATGATAGTTAGACATGAGGCCACTTAAAATTTGGAACGTTGTTTAGGGTCATTAGGGATCTGATTCTTAACCGACATCCGCATGGCTTTCGACAGAAGCTGAGCTTATGAAGAAATGTGCCTGGTGTTGGAAATAACTGATTCCCTTGGATTTTAAGTTAATTGCCTGCACATGAATGGAGTAAAAGGCTTTAAGACAATTTTTTAAAATGTATTCCATCGGGGCACTTGGGTGGCTCCGTGGTTTAAAGCCTCTGCCTTCAGCTCAGGTCATGATCTCAGGGTCCTGGGATCGAGCCCCGCATCAGGTTCTCTGCTCAGCAGGGAGCCTGCTTCCTCCTCTCTCTCTGCCTGCCTCTCTGCCTGCTTGTGATCTCTGTCTGTACAATAAATAAATAAAATCTTTAAAAATGAAATAAAATGTATTTCCTTATAGCAAAATGACATCAATACGTAAACTCAAGATAGACCAGTTAGATTGAGTTCCTAAGGTCGTTTTACCTTATCTGGCAACATTTTCATGCAATTGAGAACCTTAGGAAACAAACCATCTAAACACACGGTCTGACCACTCCCTTAATAATACTCGTAATTGGAAGGAGCCACCCATGTCCTATGATAGAACTGTCTGTGCATGACAAAGTGCTTGGAAATTTTAGGGACATTGTGTCTGGTCATACTTCTCATCGTTCATCAAAGTAAAATTCAGGCATATGGAATTCCGGAAAGAAGTTGAGGCTAAGAATTCAATCTTAAAATATCAGTAAACTGTTTATACTTACAATCGATATGGATCACATTGTTGAGTCCTACAGTTCCCATGACAGATTTTTTTGCACATTCTCCATTCACCCTAAAAATCAAAATGTCTTTAAGTAGATGGACGAAAACAATGAAACCTGGTCCGTAATTAATATCTTCGTTCTTTTGGCCGCTGAAAACCCTATTTGAGGTGTCATGGCATTGCCTATGAACCATGATAAACAACGTGACCTTCGAAAGAGAAGTAGGTGTCCCACCATCAAGTGTCACCTGGCAAGGACGTCTTTGTCTACACATGGCATCAGACTAGTAGTTTTAACGACAGAGAGGAGATACAAAACACATCATATTTAAAGCCAGTTAAACATGAAGACATATGAGGGGGCCCCTGGGGGGCTCAGATGGTTAAGCATCTGCCTTTGGCTCAGGTCATGATCCTGGGGTCCCGGGATCGAGTCCCACATCAGGCTCCCTGCTCAGCGGGGCGTCTGCTACTCCCTTTCCCTCTGACCCTCCTCCCCACTTGTGCTCTCTCTCTATCTCAAATAAATAAATAAATAAATACCATGAAAAAATCTGAAATATTGGAAAATTATTAAAATACTAGAAAATAATAAACATTTTCTGGTAACAGACAGAAATAGCTCTCAAGGCACGCCTTAGCCATTCTCACAACACTGGCAAAGATTTCTTACCCAATATAAAAAACAAAACAAAACAAAAAATCCCCCCAAAAAGAACAAAGAAATATGGGTTTAATTTAATCAGAACCACGAACTTCCATTAAAAAAAAACCCTAAGAAAACAAAACACCGAACAACATATATATATAAACACACTGCACACACACACCCACAGACACACACAAGCCCACATGATACACGTTTGTGATACGTGCAAAGTCAATGCATATTACATACAACCATCACCTATGTGTCCCATATATAGCAAAAGAATCCGTGGGTCTCTGTGACAAAAAAAATGTGTATTTGGAAAAATATGAACAATGCATACAGTACAAATAATTAAACACGAAAGAGTCCGACTAAAATGAAGCAATGTGTTGAACAGATATGTCACAAAAGAGGGGCCCCAGGAAGCCGTGGTCCCCACTTTGAGTCATTAGGGACGTGCAACGTAAAAGCCACTTCCCGTTCGCCCGGAATGGATAAAACCACAGACCAAGTCAGCCCCGAGGTTTAGAAAGAACGGGTTGCTGTGGACGATCTGATGTCTTGCTGGCCATAATCCCAATGGCGCTGCCTCTTGAAAAACAATTTGAATATCCTGTCCTTAGAGATGCTGAGGTCACCCATAGACGACTACAATGCCACCGTGTCACGGTCCCCAGGAGAACAGCAAATAATATGTCCACGCAAACACGTGGCAGAGCGACCTTATCAAAGCTGTCCCCAATACCCACAACGTGCACACCTTATCCCGTACCTGGAAAACGTGGCCGCTGTTTTGGACACAAAGTACTTTAACTCGGCAGTGACAAAAGGGACTAATTGTCCCGGAAGGCCTGTGCCTATATGGTTAAAGCCTTACAGGGGGTGAGAAAAGCAGGAAGAGACACACTGTGTGTGATTCCACTGTGTGATGTTCTGGAGCAGAGGAGAAAAGCTTGTCAGGAAAATTCTCCATGGGGCCACACGGGCAGACACTGGGAGAGAAGCAGACTTTCGGTGGCGATGGAAAGGTCCCGTACCTTGACTAGCAATGACAAACGGTTGTAGACGTGTGTGAAAACGCACCCACTATGCCTTCACGTGCACGTCTGCGATCTCACGTGCGTGACATTTCAGTAGACCTGACTGCAGAACAAGGGGCCCCATGGAAAGTCAGCGAAATGCAGACGGACACAAAAGTATAAAAATGACCCCAAAACATCATAGGGTATTCTTTAAAAAAAAAAATATGGAGGAGCGCCTGGGTGGCTCAGGGGGTTAAGCCTCTGCCTTCGGCTCAGGTCATGATCTCGGGGTCCTGGGATCGAGCCCCGCATCGGGCTCTCTGCTCAGTGGGGAGCCTCCTTCCCCCTCTCTGCCTGCCTCTCTGCCTACTTGCGATCTCTCTCTCTCTGTCAAATAAATAAATAAAAAATATTTAAAAATATTAAAAAAATATGGAAAACTGACAGGTATACTTATTAGGATATGATGTCTGCATAATTTCATTATATGTATATATAACGTCTAACCAACAGCATCGTAGATTATACATAATCAATTCTATATCTATCAGGATAGGATATGTGTGTAATTTGATTATATGTATATATAACACATAATCAACCTCGTCGTAGAGTGTACGTAATCAATTATATAATTAATCATATATCAATTGTATATATCAACTATATATCAATTATATAATTAATTATGTAATTGCATAACATGACATATATTATAATTGTTGTGTATTATATATAGCAGTTTATCCATTACTAAGTTCAGAAAGCATTCCAGTACTATTAATGGAATGCTCACACTACTGCTGGCATATATATATAAAATAATTATATATTACCATATATATATTATACATTTTATATATTAGACTCATATTATAATAATTATATGTTATCATATATTATAATGTATTATATATTAAAATTATTATATATTATATACTATTGCATATTATAATTGTAAAACACATTTATAATTATCAAACATGTTCATTCATGATTTTATACATCAATTATATCAATTACATTTGTATATATACAAATATATGTATTTGTATTATACATTATGATATTATAATATATATTATATATCATGCATTATATATTATTTATATATCATATATCTTATATCATATATTTATGTAATATATTATTATATATTATAATTTTATCATATGTATTATGTATCATATATTATTATACATTATATATTATTATATATTATAATTGTAAAACATGTTTATAATAATCTAACATGTTCATTTGTGATATTTGCATATCCATTATATCAATTACATTTGTATATGTATAAACCCATCTCTCCAAACATAACCCTCTTATTTTACTTTCTCAACGCTCATCTTTTTTGTTTTCTGTTCTTCAGCACCTGTGTCTGTGTGTAGAAACTAGAGAGAGAGGTTCTCACTCAGTTTCTTATAATGCACGATTTTTGACACATGTTCTGAAGCCCTTTATCCTTGGAAGAATCACCCTTCCCTTTATGCCCCTTCCAATTTCTTCCTGATTCTTAACAGATGAACGCATCTCTCTCCTTATTTTCAGTCCTTTACTCCTGTGTGTTCTCCAGCCAGTACCTTGCCAGGTATCTCTAAGCCTCGCAATATTTCCTTTACATCTCCCTCAAGTCCCCCTTTGCAAAGTTCTTTCACTTTTCTTGTACTGCCAACTTTTTGAACTATTAAGCCATCATCCGTTCCCAGTGCAATTCTACCTGGATCAGAAGGACTGCAAACAGTAAAGATTAACAATTCCCTTTCCACGTGCCATGCAAACATAGGTTTTAACCTTACACACAGTGGATCTGTCTGCATGATTTTGTGCTTTGGGATGCCCTATATTTCTTTTAAATAATTCCTCCTGCTTCCTTTCTTCCTTCATTCAGTTTAAAGCCCTTTCTGTCGATCTGTGTGCCAACATGTGTCCTCTTTCTTCCTCCTTTGTTGGAAAATTCCCAGTCCATCTTCAAAGGCATCCTACACATACCCTGTTCCTTGCGACCTTTCATAGAACACCCTCCAACCCCCACCATACGATCACAGGCCATTTTCTGGGGGTCTCTTTCCACCTAGACTTTACTCTTACAATAGAATTTCACGTGGTATTGTTATGAGTGTAGAGATCTGTATCAGACTCTATTTTACCAGTGAAGGTAAAAAAACAAATAAATAAGTCTCATCTTCTCTTAGTCTTTTGAGTTCTTAATAAAATGCCTATCCTATAGTGGGCATTTTATAAATAGTAGTTGAAGTAGCAAAGGCTTTGGTGAATGTCACAATTCAATGATGTTCAAAATTTGCTACTTGTGAGTTCTTCAGGGTAGAGAATGATAGAGCCAGTGGCAGGAACCCTACAGTCCCAGAAGCTCCATGAAGACCATCTCCTTAAAGCAAGAAGGTTGTGCTCAATTTATAAGGAACTGAGACTTCAACGCCATGCAGATATTACATTGCAAACATGGAGCTCAGATGCATTAACAGGTGTTTTTGCTCTGTGTGATTTTTACTTACTTGATGAAAAAATTGAATAAGATTTTCTTTCTTGGTATGTCCACATCAACATGTCTCATATAACCCCTAAATGGGCTGTTTTCACTGAGCTTGTCAGCATTGCTAGCTGCTAGGTACATCGTCTTCCATTGTCCTGAAAGCTAAAGGCAAAGTTCCTATCAGTAACTTTACTCAATTCCCTTTTATTTTCTCCAACATCAGCCCATATGATTATGCCTTGTCTTTTGCATCAACACAGAACTAACTTTTTGAACAACCCAGGATTTATAAACTACTGGAAAAAGCCAAGTCGGCAACAAATCAACACATTGACATATTCCTAAAATAGCATATCCGTTCTTACCCAATGCAATACCTCAACCCCGATAGCTCATGGGCTGTTGCATGTCCTCTTTTACAAGTACAGTAGACATGTATAAAGGGCCAGTGACTAGACTCTAGGAGACACGTACAGTAGACGTGTGTAAGAAGCCTATTTACAGAGGAGTTCTCAGTTTACAGGTAGACGGCTAATCCTGACGCAAGTCAATTGGATAGACATAGGAAAACCCCTGAAAACATGCACATACACATAAAGACCTCTTTGTCAGGCCACCCAGTTTCTGGTACCTGTGTCAATGCATTAAGTAAGGGTTGTTGGGCATCGCAAACCGCAACAAGGACAAGAGACAACAGTAAAATCTTCATGTCTCCAGCACGTCTTGGTTCCTCCTCTGGAGAAGCTCTGAATAGATTGCCGGTTGCTAAGATTCTGAATTTTCATTGCTTTATATAGTATATGTCTGTGGATGTGGCAATGTTTGTCTATTTGTCATTCTTTTCAAGAGAGCATTGTGTAACACTGACAACATCCTGGTTGGCGATGATGTATCCCAAAGACCTGTGAGATCTGGGGCACATTGCTCTTTTCTTCCTCGACTCTGGAAAAGACATTCAGAAGCTGGGTTGGCTTGTACCATTGTTTGGATCAAGCCTGCATATCTCATGTAATGTGGATACTCCCTCATTCATTCTTGGGGAAAAGAAATGTCCCCTTCCCTCTTTGTTGGATGTGTTGCAAGGAGATCACCTTCCTGCCCCAGCACAACTGTTCCCTGTTTCTTGGGAAAAGATGGAAGGATATATGTGGGGGCTTTGCCACAAACCAACTCATAAATGGAAAGGCCAACGTGCAGGTTGGGAGACATCTGGTTTTCCTCTTTCCCAGCAAGCTGGGGGTGAAACCACTTTGAGGCTCTTCACAGACAAAGTTGTACACAGTCCTGAGCATGTCTGTCCCTCTGAGCTTATTATGAATATCAGATAATTATATATCTATGGAAAGCTCATAGGAGAGTATTTAGCTTGGAGAAAACAGGTCTTAAGTTGTTATTAGTATCTTTGAAGAAAACCAGTGAACCAGTCAATCAAATAAGAGTCTCTTAGGAAGCTGCTACCATCATCGGTTTGTTCAACATTAAATGAACTTGCCACTCATCCTTACAGGCTAATAAAGTGAAACAAGAAAACAGGTATCTTGTGATTCTTTTGCTCACATCTGGTCAATTATGAAATAGAATAAGGGGGCTGTGGGATAAGAACAGAAAGACTGGAATGCCTAGAATAAATGAGTATCTTTTTAATGATTTTTTTGAAGATTTTATTTATTTATTTGACAGAGATTACAAGTAGGCAGAGAGAGAGAGAGAGAGAGAGAGAGGAGGAAGCAGGCTCTCCACTGAGCAGAGAGCCTGATGCGGGACCTGATCCCAGGACCCTGAGATCATGAGCTGAGCTGAAGGCAGAGGCTTAACCACTGAGCCACCCAAGTGCCCCATGAGTATCTTTTTAAATATGATAAGACCAGGGTAAACAAGACCTAAAACACAGGCAGTGGCACTAATCCCTCATGAAAGGTTGGCTTGTGTCCTCTTCCAAACTCATGTGTTGACGCCCTACTTGCCAGACCCCAGAATGGGATATACATTGGGAATAGGGTCACTGTGACAATGTAGTTGGCTGTAGTTAGTTCAGAGCAGGTCATGGTGGACTAGGGTGGGCCCCTGATCCAATATGGTTGGTGTCTTTCTAAAAAGGGAGAATTTGGATGCGCGTGCACACAGAAAATGTAGGGTGATGCTGTCACAAAGCAGCAAACTTCCACCGGCAAGAAGACAAAGATAGAGCAGAACCCTCCTCTAGAGACTTCATGGAGACTACAGCCCTGCCCACATCCCATCTCACACTTCTGGCCTCCTTATCTCCAAGGTAATACATCTCTCTTGCTCTAAGCTACCCGTTTTGATTGATGGTTTGACCGGTTGATTGATTCTACAGTATCCCTAAGAAACGCTTACGCACTCGGGATTTGATATCAACTATGACTTGGGCCACATAGCTAAGGTTCTTGCCACGTCCTTCCACCTCTGCCTGAGTCCACTGAACTGATGGAAGACCCTCTTTTCTCTGAGGCTAAGAACTCAGTAGGGCATGAGAGCTCTAGTTCTCATGCCAGCTGCTTGGAAGTTGTCGGGAGACCACGTCTACAAATGAAGAAGCATCTTCAGCCAAATAAAGGACAAGACAAACAAGGGATTTTCCTTGTTTTTTTAGTTTTCCTCATATTTTTTTTTATTGACATGGGAAACAGTGACAGGTTAAAATTATTGACTTGATTTATTCTTTTGGAGCAACCATGTGGTCTCCATATTCTTGGGAGGTCTTCCTTCCTCCAGAGATCAGTTTATGCTCTAGGCACAGGACAGTCTGTTCTCTCTTGATTTCACAAGTTCTTTTATTGATTGAAACTATACTTTGTGTTGTCTTATGAAACACAACAAAGACAACTGTTAAGGGACTTCCCTGCCAGAAGAGTGTAATTAATTACCCATGGGATGGACTCAAAAGACTCTGTTTAAGACAGTCATTCCTTCAGACTGATTGTCTCTCATTTGGGCTTTGACATTTTGTCACCTTTTGATGAAGGTATCTCAGACTCCTGCTTCATCAGCTGGCCTTTTGCTCCCTTTGGAGTTCTAAAAGTGGCCAGTTTGGGTCATTGAATTGGATTCTTTCATTTGTCTCTCTCTGCTTTTGGAGCCATTGTTACTTTTCTGTGTTTTGTCTTCCCCTCTGTGGGTTATCCCATATCACTTGTCTCTTGGCATGAAAAGTAAGTCAGTCATTTCTGTATGCCGCAATGTTCTGTCCAACTCCATCCATTTTGAACATTATGAGATGGATACTACTCTGTCTTCAGTCAACATGGAGATTGAGTTTAACATTTGAATGAATGTTGTTCTCTGTGGTTCCTTTGGAATACACTTCACTTCCTGTCAACATATCATTTGGGTCCTAATCATATAAATTTCCTAGTATATTCATTCAGTACACACTGAAGTACAGTAGGGTACATTGAAGGCTCAATTATTAATATTCAAATGATTCCATATCTCCCTTCTGCTAAACCCTGGACTTTTTTAGACATCTGAGACAACTCTTCAAACCACAAGGCATGCCCCACACCCTTCCCTCCCATTTATTCTTTGCTTTCTAATTCTCGCATTTCTTTCAATATCCATCAAGACTCTGGTCTTATAGAGTCTTTGGTTATCCATTTCTTTGGATATCCATAAAGACTGTGGCAATCTTCCTTATCCATTTGTCCATTGAAGGGCATCTTGGTTCTTTCCACAGTTTGGCAACCGTGGCCATTGCTGCTATAAATATTGGGGTACAGATGGCCCTTCTTTTCACTACATCTGTATCTTTGGGGTAAATACCCACTAGTGCAATTGCAGGGTCATAGGGAAGCTCTATTTTTAATTTCTTGAGGAATCTCCACACTGTTCTCCAAAGAGGCTGCACCAACTTGCATTCCCACCAACAGTGTAAGAGGGTTCCCCTTACTCCACATCCCCTCCAACACATGTTGTTTCCTGTCTTGCTAATTTTGGCCATTCTAACTGGTGTAAGGTGGTATCTCAATGTGGTTTTAATTTGAATCTCCCTGATGGCTAGTGATGATGAACATTTTTTCATGTGTCTGATAGCCATTTGTATGTCTTCATTGGAGAAGTGTCTGTTCATGTCTTCTGCTCATTTTTGATATGATTATCTGTTTTGTGTGTGTTGAGTTTCAGGAGTTCTTTATAGATCCTGGATATCAATCTTTTGTCTGTACTGTCATTTGCAAATATCTTCTCCCATTCCGTGGGTTGCCTCTTTGTTTTCTTGACTGTTTCCTTTGCAGAAGCTTTTGATTTTGATGAAGTCCCAAAAGTTTATTTTGGCTTTTGTTTCCTTTGCCTTTGGAGACATATCTTGAAAGAAGTTGCTGTGGCTGATATCGAAGAGATTACTGCCTATGTTCCCTCTAGGATTCTGATGGATTCCTGTCTCATGTTGAGGTATTTTATCCATTTTGAGTTTATCTTTGTGTACGGTGTAAGAGAATGGTCGAGTTTCATTCTTCTACATATAGTTGTCCAGTTTTCCCAGCACCATTTATTGAAGAGACTGTCTTTTTTCCACTGTATATTTTTTCCTATTTTGTCGAAGATTAACTGACCATAGAGTTGAGGGTCCATATCAGGGCTCTCTATTCTGTTCCACTGGTCTATGTGTCTGTTTTTATGCCAGTACCATGCTGACTTGGTGATCACAGCTTTGCAGTAAAGCTTGAAATCAGGTAACGTGATGCCCCCAGTTTTATTTTTGTTTTTCAACATTTTCTTAGCGATCTGGGGTCTCTTCTCGTTCCATACAAATTTTTGGATTATTTGCTCCAGCTCCTTGAAGAATACCGGTGGAATTTTGATTGGAATGGCATTAAAAGTATAGATTGCTCTAGGCAGTATAGACATTTTAACAATGTTTATTCTTCTGATCCAAGAGCATGGAATGGTCTTCCATCTTTTTGTTTCTTCTTCAATTTCTTTCATGAGTGTTCTGTAGTTCCTTCAACAGATGAATGGATAAGGAAGATGTGGTCCATATACACTATGGAGTATGATGCCTCCATCAGAAAGGATGAATACCCAACTTTTGTAGCAACATGGACAAGACTGGAAGAGATTATGCTGAGTGAAATAAGTCAAGCAGAGAGAGTCAATTATCATATGGTTTCACTTATTTGTGGAGCATAACAAATAGCATGGAAGACATGGGGAGTTAGGAGAAGGGAGTTGGGGGAAATTGGAAGGGGAGGTGAACAATGAGAGACTATGGACTCTGAAAAACAATCTGAAGGGTTTGAAGAGGTGGGGGGGTGGGAGGTTGGGGGAACCATTTGGTGGGTATTAGAGAGGGCACAGATTGCATGGAGCACTGGGTGTAGTACAAAAACAATGAATACTGTTATGCTGAAAATAAATTAAAAAATTATTATTAAAAAAAAAGGCTGTGGCAATCAATTCAATATTCTCATCTTTTTTAGGATTATCTTTTGGAGCCTACGTCTCTTCTGTTTGCCTTTTGTCTTTTCTAATCTAACATATTCATGGGTAAAAGATTAAACAGACACCTGTGTACTCTGTCCTGAAAGGCTGACACAGCATAACCCTTAGCCAAATCCCTTAGCTTACTGGCCTCACTACATGCAAAGGACAGGAAAAGGTGAACATCTAAAAGACATTTTGATTTCTCTACATATCATCTCACTTTTCATACAAAAGTCTTGATGTGAATTCCCTTTGGATTCCCCACCAGCACCCAGGTGTTCAGAATCAGAAGGTTGATCATT